GTGCCGCAGGTCCAGTCACTCTGTTGATGGTGTGAGCAGTGGCATCTCCCACACACGTGCTCCTAACCCCTCACGCCCCCATGGGACAGTGCCTGCACTGACTGTCCACAAGGCACAGGGCCGCGGCAGGTCTGGCTGGACCCGGGTCGTTGGTTCCTGGGACCTGTCCACGTTCTGCGTTCCCGCCTGGGCCCGAGCACCCCCATGCCCCACAGCCTGCCCCCGCATTCTGCCTGTGCCCTGGGAGGTGCCGTCCTGCTCCGGCCCCCCGACCTTCCGCCCAAGACCCGCCAAGCCCTGCTGTCAGGAGCTCGTCCCCACTCCTCTCCGGCTCGCTGTGCTCGCCTCCCTGCTTCCGTCCTGCTCACACTCCACCCCGGCAGGGGACAGCAGCCGTGGCACAGAGTAGGCACGTCGTGGGGGGAGGAGGTGGACGGTGTGCTTTTATCCCCAGCAGCGTCGCAGCCGGAGCCACACGGCCGCCTGACACCTGTCGAGTCTTGCTGACCGCGGCCCCCAGGGGCGCCCGGGGGACTCCCGGCCCTGCCCACAGCCGAGGCCCCGTCCCCACAGCTGCTCTGCCACGTGTGCTGGCAGGCGAGTCCTGAGACCGGGGCGCCGCCCGGGACATCCATCTGCTTTCCTGTTTTACTCTTTTCTGAAGTCTTCATGCTGCCTCTCTGGTGCTGGGAGAACCCTGCCTCTCTGGTCCCAGTGAGGACAGGGTTTCCCATCTGTCACTGCCGTCTCCTCACACCGGCACGCGGTAGGGGTTCAGTGTTTGTTGAATGACTGAGTGTGCTCAGCATTCGGGCATCGTGGGGTATAAGCAGAAGGAGTCGTGGACAAGCCCCCTCTGCCGTGTGGGGGCCACGGCCCCACACGCAAATTGCTACCAGTGTCCCGGCAGTGGTGGCTTGGGGGCCCAGTGTCTCCGCCTCAGACGACATGATTCTAGGAGATGACAGTGACCCGTTCTCAGCCGCTGAGTTCGGGACAGCCGCCTCCCAGATCCAAGGGCACGAAGGCAGGTGGAGTGGCACGCCTGGCCCAGCCTGGGCTCTGCCAGGTGTGGGGGCTGCTAGGAGGGGCAGGTGGCCAGCGCCTGCAGGTGTGTGTGCGGCGCGTGTCTGTGAACCCACATCCAAGCCCTTCAGCCCTAAGTGCACGGCCTTGAGGCTCTGTGCCGGCTCATGGAGGCACAGGGGTTCCCCGCCAGCCTGCAGTGCCCCTCGGGGTCAGGGGTTTGCAGACCCGGTGCTGGGCCCACCCTCCTGTCGGTGTGAAGTCGGCACAGACTCTCTGCCAGGGCCTTTCTTGCCTGACCCCCCCATGCCCTGTGTCATGTGCGCAGATTCTGGTTTCTCTTGTAGCTGCCCGTCTGGGGACCCTCCCAGCCCGAATCTCGCTCTGGGAGGGAAATTGGTTTTCATTCTCCCACCTCAGGGCAGACATGGTCACTGTCTCCAGAAGGCTTGTGGGTCTAAGCAGCAAACTCGCTTGCTCTCGTTCTTCCTGCTGATTGTGAAGGGGGTGTTCCAGTTCTGCACCCCCTGCTGAGTGTGCCTGGCATCTCTTCAGGAGCCAAGCTCACATGGGTAGTTAGCACTGTCTGTAGGCCGGACACTCGTGTGTTGGTGTAGAGGACAAGGTCAACATGCAGGTCCCGGGGAGGCGTCTCCAGTGTGGGTCTGGAGGGGCCTATGGAGTTCAGTGGACAGAGAGCCTCCAGGGCCAGCAGAGGGGCTGTGTGGGGTACCCGTGGGAACCTGGAAACTCGGGGTGCGGCAGCCAGGCCAAGTGCCACTGTCTGCAGAGGGGACAGTCGGCCGCTTCCTGTTCTTCGCAGTCTCGCTTTCCTGTCCCTCCTGCCATTTTTTGCCCCTTAGACCGTTGTAGGGTCTGTCCCTTTCTTTTCACGTGTCCGTATGTCCTGTGAGCTGCGCTCGCAGCGGACCACCTCCTGTTGGGATTTGCGTCTGGTTCTTGGTAGAAATTAGTTTACCCTACGGGCTTCTTTGCAGGTGGAGTCTCATCACTCCTCAAGGAAGCTTCCAGTGACGGACACTCTGCCTGTGGCCAGGGCTCTGGGCCGAGTGCTGGTCACCATGGGGCCATGCGTGTGGCCTGGCAGCCTGCCTTTCTGTTGCTGCTGGGTGTGGAGTGGGAAGCGCTCCTGCTTCACCCCTCTCCTGGCTCGGGGCTCGTCCCACTGCATCCACTGCCAGCCAGGGCTCCTCCGTTCTCTTCCTTTTGCTTCCATTGTTCCCATACAGCCACTGCCTTTTCCACCAAGTCCGCAGACAGTTCAGCAGTCTCTCCTGGGCCCCTTGCTCCCACTCAGCCTGGAGCACCCATGTTCCCTGGTCATTGGGGTGCAGATGCTGATGATGGAGGCCTGGCCCTGCCCCCAAGTCCTGTCGGAGCCACCAGGGCACGCAGGGCTTTGAGGCCTGGCTGGGACCTGCTCTGGCGTTTGTGCACACGGGGACACAGGTTATAGGCCACACTGGGAATCATCCTGCCCACAGTGGGCGGGTGGCCATGGTCAGAGCCTCAGAGCCAGGGCCAGGGAGCTGCTGGCCCGGAGAGCGGCCTGGGGCAGGGGTGCTGGCGAGATGACCCCTCACTGTGCAGCATGGTGCTGCAGCAGTCAACGCCCAGTGAGGGGTCCTGCGGGGAGGACCGCAGGCTTGCTGCCGCGCCTGTTTTGTTTTGTTTTTCAGTTCATTGTAGGGAGAGAGAGAAACACCAGCCAGGACGATGCTCTAACCAACTGAGCTGTCTGGCCTGGTCTCCCCATAACTGTTTTTACGGTGCTGGGTGATCTGAGACTCCTGGCACCTTGTCACATGGAACCCTCACCCAGTTTGTCCTTCAGAAGGGGCTTCCCGCATGCTGTGCAAGGCTATTCCTTCCTTGGTCGTCTTCTCCTGATCCGGATGGTGTCCCTAGCCTTTCAGAAAGGGGCAGAGCACAGAGCCAGCCAGGCCACCCCGCCCAGGGTCGCCCAGAGGCTGTGCCCAAAGGGCCCTTTGTTTCAGCCACAGAGTCAGGCTGCAGCTTTAGTTTCCCTCCAAGTGCCTGGGCTCCCAGTCCCGCTGTCCAGCTGCTCTGGGTGGGGAAGGGACCAAGGAACCAAGGTCCCCAGCTCTGACCGCACAGGCCCATTGCCCTGATACCTTCTGCGGGTGAACTCAGACACAGCTGTGTGCCGGCAGGGTCGCCCAGGTCCGAGTTAGTCCAGGAGGGCAGCAACAACCAGAACGTGTGTGACGTGCTCCTGTCCACGTGCTGCTGTCATTGGGGTGTGTGTCCCAGCATGCACGCATGCATGCACACATGCACACACACATGCACACGTGGCTTCATGTTTCTGAAAGGGAGTGTGTGTGGCACCTTGCACTCTGACACAGCAGGTCTCGGAATGAAATGACGGAATCCCTACAGCTTGTCCATCTTTCATCCCCTCCTCTTTGGAAGAGAAAATGCTCTAATGGGAAGTGTGAGCTCACATACAAGTGTTCAGAGTTAATTCCCTGAAGGTGAGAAAGGGCTGGTAGTCGCGGCGAGGGCGCAGGGCTAGACTCTAGCACTCAGTTCCATGCAAGGGCCTGGAGAGCAGGCCAGTCAGAGGACATGCGGCCGCTGCTGCCCAGGAGGCGGGGGGTTGGCTCCAGCTGCTGGAGGGGAAGTTCGTGGGGCTTGGAACCAGAAGTTCATCCTCAGTGGAGACTGCGTTAGACCTGGAGCAGATGACCAGTCGGTGGGAGTGGAGGGACAGTGTCTACTGTTGGCTTGAAATAGAATATCCACCCAAGACAAAGGGGGCAGACTGTCAGGGCTGACAGTGGTTAACTCGGTGGGGTGCAGACCCCTTGAGCTGACTGAGCGCCTCTCTGTGAAACTGCATAGCCGTCCCCGGGAACCGTGGCCTCCCGGGGCCCATGTGTGAGACCCGCCGAGGATGCGGGGCGAGAGGGGCCCCACGGGCCGCCCCGCTTCACGAGTGATGTGCTCCGTGGCTGCATGTCCCCAAACATAACAGAGTCGGAAGATCAGATGTCAGACTTTGGTTTTCTTCTCTCTGATTTATGCTGCTTGGCACGCACAGTGTCTGTGAAACAAGACAATGGAATAGAAAGCCCTCCACTTGTGCATGCAGTGCCGTGTCCCAGAGAAACCAGTTGTTTAATTTTTAAACCTGGCTGGCCCTGTATCGTCTCCCTAAAAGGCAGCACAGGCCAAGCCTGGGCCGGCCCCGCCCCCCCCCATCCATCCCCCCAGCTCTGGCCTCACAGATGGAAACACAGCTGAGGAGCCACGTTGACACATCCTCCTGCGAGTGTCCAGCTGTTACTGTCCTAGTGCTCGTCAGTTTCAGGCCTGGGTGTCACTGGAACGCTACCTCGCACGTTGGAGGGAGAAGGCGTGTGGCCTGTCCCTCAGACCGGGAGCCCCCGTCCACTCCGGGGGGTGGGAGCAGAGGCAGCAGCTGTCTGGGCCTTCAGCTCCCGCAGGGCCCGTCCCCAGAGCAAGTGCATGCGGTTTTCCCGTGTCCTCCTGCAGGCGGCCTGCATTGCACCTCCAAGCCCCGCAGTGGGAAACTCTCCCTTTGCCCCTGGAGTCCAGGGCTGGGGTGTGGAGTTGGAGTGACCGTGGGGACCGGGGAGGAGTGGAGGTCTCTGGGAAGGAGGGCCTTCGCCAGAGTCAGGCTCTGTGCTCAACTCTCCAAGGCAAACCAAGGTCCCCTTTCCGTCCACACCAGGCGCCAGTCCTTTGGCAGTTGCTGCTCCCATCGCCTCGGGCCCTTCCTGCGCCCCAGCCTGTTGGAGCCTGCAGACGCAGTGGTGTTCTCTGGCCCCCCCAAGCTGGGAAGGCGGTCTGGGGGCAAACCGAGGTCAGGCCGCTCAGGCACGTGGCTAGTGCAGCGCTCGCACCCAGCACGCTGTGGGTGGGATTGCGTGTGCTGTTGACTACCCCCTGTGCCTTCTCTGCAGAGAATGTGATCGATGGGCAGGACCACGAGGTCATGATGCAGATCGACTGCCAGGTGATGGACACCAGGATCCTGCACATCAAGAGCGCGTCAGTCCCGCCCTACCTCCGGGAGCAGCAGCAGAACCAGACCAGCACCCTCTTCGGGGCCCCGCCCGCAGCCACGGAGGCAGCCCGGGTGGTCAGCGCCATCCCGGAGTCGCTGCAGTAGCCCTGGGCCACTCGGGCTTCGAGTGGGACCCACAGGCTGGGGGCGGGGCACAGGTGCTTCCTCCCGCCTTCCTGGTGGCGTCTGATCCAGGACCTGGCCCGAGATCAAGTTCGGGGGCAGAGAAAAGGAGCTGCCCCATCTCCATGTCCACCTGTCTCCCCCTGGCAGGGCCCGGGATTCGGACACAGGGCGTGTGGCCCTTTCCCCTCCGTGTGGCCTTGAGTAGACTCCTGTGTTTTTGAGTCGATTCCCCTGTGTGTTTCCTGTTTCGTCACCTACTGTAAGTCAGCCCCGCTCACTGCGCTGCCCCTCACTCGCCAGCATGGGCTGCGTGTCACCAGCCACAGCAGCACACGTCTCGTGAGTTCGTGTAGACCCACTGTGCGCGCTGCGTGCCCTGGAAACCAGATTTGGAACTGGACAGCCCAGCACACCCCCAAGCCAGCACAGCGCGGTGGTGCATTAGGGAAGGGGGAGCCTCGGTGGGTGGGGCTGCCCTGCACGCAGGTGACGGTTGGGGGCCAGCAGGTAGCGAGTTTGAAAGTATGAGCAGGACGGGTCAGGCCAGCGGCAGGTCCCCATGAGCAGACACTGACTGTTCGCTGGGATTGCCGTCTGCGGTCGGAGCCACAGCTGCCGTGTCTTTCGAGGGTCGATGGCCACTGGGCCGAGTCTTCTCTCTGCTCGCCACGTGGGCCCTGCGGGGCCGCAGCACACACAGACCCTCCCTTCCCGTCGTGAGCCCCCACCTGCCATCCCCTCTGCTAGGCAGTGATGCCACATTTAGCCACAGGGCTTAGCAAACGAGAGCATTCTGTCTTGAAAATGACCAACGTTCTTAGTCCCGGAGACTGTGTGGCCAGGAAAGTGGGGTTCCTGCCGGGTGGTGGGGGGCAGCCGCTGTGGTTCAAGAAAAGAAAAAAGACTGAAGTGTTGTCCTCGCTCGTTTTGCGCTCTGCGTGGATGCTGCCCTTGGTCTTGGAGGTGAGCCTGCCTTGCCGCCCTCCTGCCCTGGGCTCTCACTCCACGGACGGGGCCTCCTGCCCTCACCTCCTCCATCGGACCCTCCCGTCCACTGTTCCCTCCTGTCTGCACCACCCTCCCAGAGATAGTGCAGCAGCCACGGCTTGGCTGGCGGACTCTAGGCGGCTCCCCAGGATTTGGAAGCCTCAGCGTCGTGCGGGCTGGGTGCTTCTGCTCAGGCTAGTGGGCGGCTTTCTGAGGACTCGGTTTAACCTGTGAGGGGTGTGGCCCTGCTGCTTTTTCCCCAGGAAGCTGGCATGTGACCCAGCCATCCCCCTCTCCAGCGCAAGCCAGGGGGCCGCGTGGCGTCCCCCATCCTGGTGTCGTGCCAGCAGGCTGTGCTGGCCGCGGCCACACTGACCTCTCGGGCCAGGGCCTGCTGCAGGCCCAGGGTTGGGGGTCAGCTGGACCCAGTTCTGTGCCAGGGCTGCCCTGCAGACCGAGTGGGGGTGCTCAGTACGTGAGCGGCGGCAGCTCCCTCCTCCCCTGCGTGGACCGTGGAGATGGCTCCTCCGCGCAACTTTGACCGGATCCATCTGTCCCCAGCGTGTCCTGTGCTCACGGACCTGTTTGTTGGAGGAAGATGTCATTTGTGATCTCGTCCGGCCACAGCACTGCCCCGGGACCACACGGGGCCTGGAGAGGCATCAGGAGGAGGAGGCAGTGGGGCAGAGGGCTGGCCCGGCCCTGTGTGGGGACATCAGAGCAGGCGCGGTGTCCCCTTCTCTCTGGGGCAAGGGGCACATTCTCCTCAGGACAGAGTCTCGGGAATGAGTGGCTGGCATGGAGGACATGGCGCCTGCGTGCTTCTGTCACCCCGTGACTTCCACTATGTGGCTCCGGGACTCGCCACGCTGCCTGCTGGCAGATGAGGCCGGGTGTCGGCTCGGTTTTTAGGAGCTTGCCTTTTGGAGGCTGCAGCCAGGCCTTCTGAGGGACATGCGTGTACATGTGTATAGAACTTCTAACTTACTCAGTCTGCGTGTGGGGGGTTCACAGGCTTCTGAGGATCCGAGATAAACTCAGGGAGGGGCAGGCCCACTTACTCCTGATGGCTGACCAGCAGTGCCATCTGCGGACATGGGGACACACCGTCCCATGCTTCTCCGTTGGGTGGTGGTGGGCGCTGTGTGCGAGGATGGCGTCCTCCCAGAGTGGGGGTCAGTGGGGGGTCAGTCCCAGAACAGACAGCTATTTGGCGGTGCTTGTGGTCTGCAGGTTCCCATCAGGCTGCTGGGTGGGTGTGTACGTTCCTGAGCAAAACGTCCTCGTGGTGGTCGGCGCCCAGAGCACCTTCTGGTCGCCCCGCAGTGCACATCGAACGGGGCTTTCTCCTCCTTTCTTGTCAGTAAGCGGGCTCGGGGGTGGGTGCAGGCAGCGGCAGGTCATGCGCTGGGTACGCCTCACTTGGAAGTGGGCAAGGGACTTGGGGTTCAAGCTGACTCCCCTGTCCTTTGAATGGGACACGGTTCTGATCGAACTTCCCGTCCTGGCTTGTTGTTCCTCAGCGTTGGGAGCTGTCTCTGCCCTGTGTCCCGATTCTCCTCTCCTCCCACTCAGATGTGACCCTCCATGGGTGCATCGCAGGGAAAACCGGTCACCGCGTCCAACTTCCTAAAGGTGACACTTCCCGGCAGCTCCACTCACAGGTCCCTCTTGGGAATGACCACTAAGAGCCGGAGCCGGGCCCTCCATTGTCCCTGCTCCGCACAGATCAACCTCACATGCTTGTTGGTGCCGCTGTGGATGGATGCTCGTGGGTGGGTACCTGTGGATCCCTTAGCCCTCACCAAGAGGGGTGGTTTTATTTACAGAAATCAAGGATCTTTGCTGCTAGTATGAATGCTAACTATAACTTTTAAAAGCAAGAGTAATGCCTAAAAGAAGGTAGAATGTAAGAAAGTTTCATTCCTATCCCTAATTTTAGGATGGGGCAATTCCTGTCCCCACCTACCACTGCCCCTAGGGGCTGTGTCTGACTTTTAATTTCCTAGGAAACAGAATCCTGGGCTCACCCACGGGGTGTTGCCAGTGCCTAAGTGGGAGCAGGCAGTTCCCTCCTCACCAGAAAGGGCGTCCGAGTGATCTGCTAACTCAGGTCTTTAATGGCAGCTCCTGGAGCAAGGCTTCCTTTGGAGGGACGGGCTCCAGCAGCTGCTGCTGACGTCTGTCGGCAGGTGTGTCAGAATGTGAAGTGGGGGGAACAGGAAGGTTCTTGCGGGGGCTCAGTCCTGGTGTGGGTGTGTCGGCCCCTGTTGGGGAGCAGGCCTCACACCCAGCACCAATTTGCTGGTCTGGGCATCGGGCACTCGGCACGTTGGGAGACTGCCCACGGTCCCCAGTGGGAACCGAGGAGTGAGTAAGGCTTGGTGTGTTAGTTGCCAAGGTCAACAAGCACCCTGCCGGCTTGCTGCCTGTCCTGGCAGCGAAGGTGGGGCATGTCCCCCAGGGTGATAATCCCAGGCGTGTTAGCTGGCTGACCTTGGCAAATGCACACTGGATGTCTTACCTGACACTGAGCCCTGGCTTCCAGGCTGGTCACCTGGAGAGGTGCGGGCTGCAGGTGAGCGCTCTCGTGCACCAGGGCCTGTAGGTGCCGGCGACGTGTCCTGACCATCCTGTTGGCCGTGGGGCCGGGCTGCCAGCAAAGGGCTCGTCGAGCCTGGGGTCCAGCATCCTCCCGAGGCGGGGTCTGCGCCAACCACCAGTGGGTAGCCTGCCCCTGAGCACGCGTGTCCGTCTACAGCAGGAGGACGAGTCAGGGATGGCGCGCGGTTGCCGGTTTGTGGGCAGTCTTCACAGTGCAATACTCGTTCTCTCTGGAATGTGAATAAAGAGTTTTCCAACGTGCCTGTTTGTTCTGTGCGAGAAGGAAACGAGGATTCAAGGCGAGTCCTCACGTTAAGTGGTTGCTGACGGGAAGGGAGCGCCGCCGTTGCTCTTCAGACGGAGTCACTGACCCCCCCACCCAGTGGGGTGAAGTTGCCTTCACTGTGCCCCGCACGGGAATGGCAGCCAGTCTCCCACCTTCCCCCTCTGTGGGGACCACCGGCGCCACGGGGGAGCAGTCGACACAGGGCCTGCGGGTCCGCAGATGGCTTTGCGTGCACAGACCGCAGCTGCTGCCGCCTCCCTGCCACTGGCACTTGGAGTCGGACACAGGACCAGCAGGGCAGCAGCAGCTCCTCCCAGCTCCGGACCCCCTTAGCACAAAGTGACGGTGACGCCGGCCTCTCTGAGAGGCAAGGTGGCACGTTTCTGAAGACCCGGCCACGGGCCTCTCTAGGAAGCCGGGTGCAGGTACCTTCGCAGGCAGAGGAGGGGGGCCTGGTGGCTGGGGGGCACATCCTGTCGGTTGTGCCAGATCCGCAGTACAGGCCTTGTGTCCTGTTTCCGGGGTGGAGGCAGGAGCGGGGCTCAGCACGAAGACAAAAAGCAGATAATCCACCAGTTGAAGAGCCAGCAAAGCCGCAGGAGGGAGTGGGGAACTGGAACACACACGCCAGTCCCCACAGCCCTGCCCGAGGGGCTTCTCCCTGGACCTGGGATGCGGTCAGAGCAGACCCGAGTGAGGGTCTTCGGGGTAACCATGGGGACGAGCGTCGCACAGCCCCTGGTGCCGTGAGCTGGAAGCCCTTCCGTGTGCACCCGGTGACTTCCCAGTGGCACTTGCTGCGCATCTGCTGAGTTGAGTTTGTCACCTGGGGAGATGTCACAGCTGCCCAAGTGTCTTTCCCCCAGGTCACTCTGCGAGGACAGCGGACCCTGCCCCAGGCACTTGCCCGCCCAGCTCCTCAGACTTCCCAGAGCCGCCCCCGGGGTCTGTGCCCCCGCGGTACAGCCACAACGGCCGGGAGGGCGAGGTCCCGAGCCTGGGCCCTCACTGCCCTCCAGCCCCTGCTGCTCTCAGCGGGGCTCTGCGGGGAGGTCTGTGGATACCGTTCGTCGTGGCCACAGCTGGTCCACACACGCAGCCACAGTTGCGGGACACTGTTTCACTTCCTCATCCCTCATCCCTCATTCCCGGAGCTGCCGGGCCCCCCTTGCTCACGACCTGTTCACATCAGCCGCACACGTGCCCTCCCGCCTGGCAGCCTCGAGGGCCACGTGGCCCAGCACCTGCTGCCACCTCTGCTGAGCCGGGGCCGGGACCTCGCCTTCCACAGTGAGAGCGGGAAGGAGGCGGGAACACTTGACCCCTGGCTTGCACTGGCCTGAAAGGGCCCCTCTGGGGCACTCAGCTGGCGGCTCGAGGGCTCACCTCCCCCCACCAGCACAGGCAGGGGCGGGGCATGTGGGGGCCCAGCAGGGAACAGCTGGGTCTTGTTTTGCTCCCAGAGCAGCACCTCCCCCCCCACCACCAAACTCTGGAGTCAGCAGGGGGCTTGTTTAGTGTCTGTCGTCCTGCAGGACGGGGGCCTGTCAATGTCTCATCCGATCATTTCCCTCCAGTAGGGAGTGGACACTGCTTGGGATGTGACTGGGCATTTGAGGCTGAACTGGTGTTTTTTGTTGAGTTGGGTTGTTGACCGTTTGGAAAGACACAGACGGATGTCATCTCCAGGCGTTGGTCCTGGTGGCAGGTGGGGGCCTCGTCCCCGAACACACATCCACAGGCAGGCTGCCCAGGGCTGAGGCAGGACGCGGGGGACCGGAGGGGGCAGCGTGGCAGCTCCATGGCGGGGCTGCAGGCGCACGGCTCCTGGGACTTGGGAGGACCGCGAGTTACCTGGCCCGACGGAGAGCCCTGGGGTGCAGCAGCGGGGCCCAATCCGAGTGTGGGAAGCACCCACACGGGGGCCCAGTGTCAGCCCAGGGCTGGGGCTCAAAGGGCACAGCAGTGCCTGTGCCTCCTCCCTGAAGGCCCACAGGTCCGTTGGGAGAGTCCCGCTGTGCAGGGTGGCTGGTTCAAGGTGAGCACCACAGCTGGGCCGCGTCCAGGGAGGAGGCAGGGAGGCAGCCGCCCGCTGTCCGCCAGGCCCTGCCCTCTCTGCTGCATCAGGGGGTCTCCTGGGCCCATCACAGGAGTGGCTACCTGGAGACCCCTGTGCTCTCGGCCAGGGCACCCAGAGAAGGCTCCTGGCCAGCTGAGGACGGGCCTCGGCCCTGGCCTCCCATTCACAGCCCTGAAGAAAGGTCCCTTGGCCGCGGACTCAGACCCGCTTCACTGTGCCCTTGCCTGTGGCTCCCCGACGGTGCTGCACACTGGACCCGCCTGGGGTGGGGGGGTCGGGTGTGTAAAAATGCTGCCGCCAGCACCACCCCCATCTGAGCTCGCTTTCTGGGGTGACCTGACCTTGGGACTGTCAGCCCCGCCCCGGTGACTGCAACGGCACGAAAGTCGGAACCAGAGAAGCTGTCTTTGAGCCCAAGACCCAGCTTGTGTCCTGGCGTCTCCAGAGGTGGGGGCGGAGCAGGTTCTGCGGACAAGAAAGCTGTGTTTGAATCATCAGAGCCGGCAGAGCAGGGGGAGGGGCGGGGCGTGCGGACTGGCCGCGCTGCACTGGCGGAGGTGAAGTCAGACATTCCTGTGCCGTGTCAGAGCCGGGGAAACGCTGGAAAACAGCCGGAGCTGTGAAAGTGGAGCTCTCTGTGCGATGGCATTTTCTTGGAAGGAGGGGGCGGGGGGAGGGGAAAGGGAGGAGGGGGAGGGGCGTCCAGGCCCAGTAACAGCCAGGGGTTTGCTCCCAGGCTTCTGTCCCTGCAAAAGAGAGAGAAACCTGAAGGTGGAAGAGACCTGCCGATGGGGGAGGGGGCCAGGGGGGGTGGAGGGGGTGCAGGAGCAGCTGCGGCCTCCAAGCGGCCGGACCCCTCCTTCCTGCCGCTGTGATCTGGGGACCCGCCCTGGCGGTTCCCCTTGGGGCAGTGCCCCGCACTTCGTACCCACCCCCAGAAAAGGCCTCACGTGTGAGATGGGCCCACCCGGCCCTGAGCCCCGGCAGCTCTGCTCCTGCCCCGCTGTGTGGGGCCAGGTGCTCAGGACCCCCAGCCTGCGGGGCAGACCCGGTGGTCCTGGCTGGTGGAGCCCTCTTCACTGGGAGATGGTGTAGGACGGGGGGAGTTTGGGCTTGAAGGTCCCCCCAGTTCTGCAATCAGCACTCCCCGCTGGGGCTGCTGTCCCGGCAGGGTCAAGGTGCGGCCCACAGTCCAGGACGCTCAGCTGTGCCCCACCCCCAGTGCCTGGCCAGGGGCCGCGGGTGCTCCCTCGAGTGCCCAGCCCGCGGTTTCCCGTGGGAACGTTCTCCAGGCCTGGCCTGGCCTCTCACGGGAACAAGTCAGTGGGCCGGGAGCTGATGCCGCTCGCTGGCCCGCAGTTTCCAGGGCGGAAGAGAAGTGAGGGGCAGTCGGGGTCATGGGTCAGGCTTGCATCCTGCAGAGCAGCTGTGGGTGGGACCCTAGGGTCTGTCCTCTCTGGCTGTGTACACGGAGGGCATGGCCGCGGACAGGCCAAGGGGACACAGAGGACTGAGAGCAGGGCGTGGTGTCAGCGAGGGGAGAGTCTGTCACAGAGAGTGGCTGGGGGCCTCTGGAGCCCGGTGGGTTCCAGCAGGTGTTGGGAGGGTCCCAAGAACTGCTTGTGACCAGTCCCGTGTCTGAGCTCTGGTGGCAGTTCAAGGTCGGCACATCCATCTGCCTGTCTGAGCCTGGCCCCGGCCAAGCTCCGCTGGGGACACTAATGTCCTACAGCCACCGCCAGCCAGGCTGGGCAGGAAAAGTGCAGCAGGAGTGATAGGAGGGCAGCCGGGGGCGGGCGGAGTGCTCAGACGGCGGGAAGGGGGGAGGGAGGGGCGCCCGGCAGGGCCAGGGAGGCCTTCCTGCAGGCAGCGGCCTTGGCGTGAAGTCTTTGGGGGAGAATTCAGTCAGGCGGTGGCTGGGGAAGGGCCCCCGACAGGCCCCTGACACAGGGAACGTTCTGCATCTCAAAGCACCACTTCGCTGAGATTGGCTGGAGCTGGGTCCTCGGACTTGCGGGGCTCGTCCTGCAGAGTTCCCCTGGGGGCACACACCTCGGCCACACACTTCTGGACAGACTGGCCGGCCTGTGAGGGACACGGGGACTCGAGCTCCAACAGCTCGTGCGATGTCCAGGCCACCACGCTGGGCCAGGTGCAGGACAAGGGACAGAGAGGAACAGTGACAGCTCTCTGAGCACCCTGAGGGGTGGATATGGTGGACGGGCCCTGGGTCTGCTGACCCTGGTCCCCGAGTGCATGGCGGCGTCGACGGGGCTGGTGTGAGCTCAGGGAATGTGGCCCCTCAGGGAGGCCGGAGGGTGGACCTGGGCTTCTGAGGGTGGCAGGCAGGCCTCCCGCCCCTCCAGCCCCAGCCTGGCCCCCGAGCCCAAGCCCTGTGCCTCTGGGAAGCTCACCAGCTTTCTGCCGGCCCAGCCCTGCGGCTGCTGGCTGCGTTCAAGCTCCCAGGCGCGGCCAGACTCTCCTGGTGCCCCCGGCCAGGCCTGCCTGCCAGCCGGGGCTCAGCTGAGGTCACCCGGAAAACAGCCCCCAGGCCCTGCCCAAGGTGCCGGGCCAGCTTCCCTCGCCCTCCCCCACCAGCCTGTGTCCCACTCACACACCCCAGGGCAGGTCGCTGCTTGGGGAAGCCTGATACCGCTCTCCGCTCTCCGGGGAAGGCTCCGCAGCAGGGAGCTCCGGGGACATCGGGCGCAGAGTCCTCCCCACAGGGAACCGGGTGCGGAGGGACCAGCCTCCCGCCGCCGCCCACTCCTGAAGCATCTCAGGCTGTCGGCTCCTGCACATCCTGCCCTGAGCCAGGAAAACAGACAAAACCCAGGAACCAGGGCTCACGGCATGACAAGCCAGGGGGAAGTAAAGGAGCAGGAGAGGCAAGGA